GCCCAGACCTGTCTGCAGTTGACGCACACGGCCGGGCACCGGCTGAGCTCCTCTCCCCTTCCCCCGGGGCAGCCCTGGGCGCCCGACAGGGCGGGGTGGGGGCGAGCCGCCTTCCCTGAGATGTGCATTGGTCAGGGGACACTGACCTGACCGCTTTCCTATGGAGAAAGCTTGCTGTAAGGGTCTGTGCTGCAGGGTCCGTGTTGATGGTGCTGTAAGGGTCCGTGTTGATGGTGCTGTAAGGGTCCGTGTTGATGGTGCTGTAAGGGTCCGTGCAGGGTCCGTGTTGATGGTGCTGTAAGGTCCGTGCAGGGTCTATGCTGATGTGGTCTGTGATCCAGGTCATTGTTCGCCAGTGGACAGATGGTGTACAGAGAGGTTCAGTCTTTTGCCCAAAGTCTCACAGCCAGACTAGGATTTATTTTTAAGAAGTATTTTTTTAATTTGTTATTTTGATTTGGTATAAGGGACCTGCATTTACCAGAGAGAGAGAGAACACGAGAGGGCAAGCTGCCAGGTCTAGGACTTGAACCGCAGTCAGCCATGTGGAGTCCACTGCTTTAACCACCGTGCCACCTGCTGGTTTCCCATCAGACTAGGATTGGCATCTCGATCTGGCTCGAGAGGCCCGCTCTTACTAAGTACAGTGTTGTAATGCTGTTCAAGGCAGGGTCTCGAGCCCGCTGAGCGAGAAGCTAGAAAGCCTGCCTTGGAGAACAGAAGCCATGCTGGTCACAGTCAACCTGGAGCTCGGCGAGGTGGGGGAGACGTAGAGTCTAGACCAGAAAGGCAGTGGTACCCGTGCTGAGGCCGAGGGAGCGTCCCTGCCTGCAGAGTGCAGAGTTAGAGCCGCGCCCGCAGTTCCGGGACCGACTGGGACTGGGACTTGGAGATTACGTTTCGCTGGCTCTCTTCTGTGGAGAACACAGCACTGCATTTTTTATTTTTTTCTTCCGAAGGGCTCTGTTGTTTTTTTTTTTTTTTTCCCTTTAACCATCTCCTTGTCAGTGATTTGTTGAAACTTATCCCAATGAGTCAGAAAAATAAAATCCATCCTTCCACCCCCACGGTCGCTCCTGTTTGTCTTTCCTTCTCTCATTCCCTCCCCTCTGCCCACACCCATATTTTTGATAGTGTTCCTCTTTCTCAACTGGCAGCTGCTTTGACAGGACAGGCATTTCCAAAGCTATTACGGACTAATAAAATGAGACTCGACAAACCCAGTGGAAGGCAGGCCACATCTGCTTTTCTGCTGTGACTCTCCCGGGCTGTGCTTACTGGGAGTGGATCGGTGGTGAGCAGGGGAAGGAAGCACGGAACTACCTTTTTAGATAGCGTGGGACGGAAGGGGCGATACTGCACACGTCAGTGACCCGGGGCCTCTTACACCCCTGTTCCTTGGATTGCTGGCAGAGCCACTCATGGCTTTAAGGGACAGTTGTACAGATACTAAAACCTAACTCACTCGATCGGGGAAATGACCCTCCCCCTTTAATTCAGTGCCTCTGAATAAGAAGGCATATAGCTAAACTCAGTTTAGGAAAGGAGTTCACGGGGGAGAAAAACATGCCTTTTTAACAGCTTTGAAATCTACAGAGTATCGTTCCTCCTCAGGTTTTTCGGTCAGTACCTCCGTAGGTGGTGTTTATCTTCACGGATACACAGTGTAGACAGGAGCAGGTTTTAGTGTAACCCACTTGGCACTGCCCGTCCTGTCCTCACCTGCTCTCGCCAGTTCCGTGTACGGTCCCAGCTCATGCCCCTGCCCGGCGGTCAGGGTGGAGCCTGTGACCGTCGGCAGTAGCGGCCCGTGTGGCCCTGCCGTTCTCGCTGCCTGTGGGCGCTGGCGGCTGCTCGGGTCTGATCGGCCTGCTCGTCGTCTGCAGTGTATGGGAGTTCTTCTTTGGGGGGCATGGTGATTTCCAAGTGACTGTGGTCATTGGTAATGCCAGGTTTTGAAATTGGTTAGATTCTGCCTAGAGTAGGTCTCCTTTGGCTATTTCAAATCTCAGCTTTTCTGATGTGTTTTATTTTTCCTTATAACGCTTTTAAGTCTTTTCTGAGTAAGGGAATAAATAGTTCAATAAAGATTTTATCCCGTTTGTAAATATGGAAAGACTACATGCAAGTGTAATACTGTATTTCTATCTCTGAAAAGAGTGGACTTTCAGTTTTCAGCCTCTCTAACGCCGGTTAGACCATGTCCCGGCTCCGTGTTAAAGCCCGGGGGGACTTCAGTACGTGCTCAGTACTCTACCCTGCTTCCAGCACTGCCTCCCTTCCTGTTCTTGCCAACTTCGAAACTGAGCATCTCCTTTTCCTCAACTGTAACATGGCGGTCCGAGCAGAGCCGAGCATAGGAGGGGTGGCGTGCCGTCTCTCAGAGGAGGTGCTTCCCGAAAGGCGGCACCGCCATGTCCAGGCATCGTCTTCCCGATTTGTGACACGTGTCCATCTAACATACTCTCGGCTCTCGGAAAAGATGTGGCACATTGTTGCATAGAAAAACACTTTGTCGGGACCAGCAGTTAGCATGATGGCTATGTTGCTGGACTCCCATGTAGTCGACCACGGTTTGCATCCCGGACCTGGTGGCTTAAAACTCACACCAGGCGCGTGTGTGTGCGTGCCCAAGATCCCTGGAGGAGAAGGGATTGCGGCGTGGCCATCCCCCATGGGGGGTGATTTCTCGCTTTCTGTCTCTCTGTCTCTCTCTGTCTGTCTGGCGAGCGCACGTGCCCTATAGCGAAAACCTCTCAAAAAAAAAAAGTCATCATTTTTCACTTGACCTGGTATATGTTTTACTTACTTTTTTCTTTTTCTTCCCGCAATAGTCTATAAACTCTTTTTCTTTTTTAAAGGAAACTTCTTGAGAGCAGAGATGTTTGTCTTGTTTTATTTTGTATTTTCTTTTTTTTTTAATAATTTTTTAATTATTTATTTTATTTTATTTATTCATTATTTTATTTTTTAGTTTGACCAGAGAGAGACAGAGGGTGAGAGTGAGAGAGAGAGGAAGTGAGAAAGCAAGCCACCAGATTCAGGACTTGAACCCTGGTCGGCCATGTGGGAGTGTCCAGCGCCTTAACCACCACGCCACCTGCTGGTCCCCCTTTATTTTGTATTTTCCCAAAGGACGTGTACACTCAGCAGAGACGGGGGTGGGGGGGGATAATACCCCCTGGTAGGCATGGAAGAGCTGCAGTCCCTTCTCCGTTTGTCCACCCTGTCAGGACACGGGGCACACACGCGAGCACATATGTGTCGGTGTGTTCTCTGAGCCACCGGGATTGCGCCGCGGTTGACCGTGAGGGATCTGGCCGCCTTCCACTGGGCTATAGGCTTCCCCGTATCAGCCATGTCCTTCACAGTGTCCGGTTTGCTTGTCCTTGTGTAAGGGACCCTGACAACCCTGACACACCGAAGGCGATCCAGGAGCTTGCCAGCCTGTGTAAAGCACGCTGCCCTTGACCGCTCCCTTGACCACACCCCTGATAGCCTGTTCTCTGGACGAGATCGCAAGCCCGACTCATGTGCACGCCTCTCACACACACACGCACACACGCGCCTCGGCCATGGTGGCAGAGGCATAGAGCAGCTCAGGGTTAGAAAACACTTTCAGGGGCTGGCAGGTGGTGTGGTGGTTAAGGCACTGGACTTCCACATGGTTGATTGTGGTTTGAGTCCCAGACCTGGCAGCTTGCTTTCTCACTCTCCTTCTCTGGTCATAATTACTATTATTATTATTTAAATTTTTTTTCAGAGATGGCTCAAGAGAATGTGTATAAGACAGCAACTATAGGTATCAGGTCACTTATAAAATTTTATATTCTTTTTTTTGGCAGTTAGCATCATATTTCAGATGTTTTTAAATTATTAAAATAGTTAAAGCTTAATATTTTAATAAATATTGAAGTAGATAGATAAATCAGAATATATTTTATAATTTCTCTTATTGAACCATTTGCAGTTCTAAATAAGACTTCAGTAAACAAATTAATTCAGAAATCTTTGAGGCTTTGCTTATTTCTTTAAGAATGAGTCATAGGGGCCAGCAGGTGGCATGGTGGTTAAGGTGCTGGACTCCCATATACCTGACCCTGGTCCAACTCCCAGATCTGGTGGCTTGCTTTCTCATTTCTCTCCCTTTCTATTTTTATTTATTATTAATAATAAATAAAAAATAGTTCTTTTAAAAAAGAATGACTCATAGAGGCAATATTACTTGGTTAAACATGCTTTTGATATCATTAAAAATAATAAGCCTCTGCAAATAACTGAGTCATCTGGACTTTAAGCCAATTGACTCTCTGGGCAGCCCTTGCTGCCGCTCGCTTGATTCTCTAGAAAGAAGCGCTGTCCTGAAAGCCGTGGGCGCTGGGCTCCATGCAGCCGAGTCATGCCCGTGCTCAGCGTGTCGCACACTCGGGGTGTTACATGTCATTCCCTCTTCAGCGTCTCACAGTCTTGAATATACCTTGCGTGAACGGGAATTTAAGGATATTAAGTAATGCTATCAATAGTGTTTGGAAATGGTCAACAGAGCGTATCGTTTCTTTCTTAAACCCCTATTACCGTCAGGATAGTTAAAAAGTCACCAAAGGGCTGACCCCGTGAATGAGGGAGCTGGCTCCCACACGGCTTACCACGCCATGAGAATCGACCGACAGCTTGAGAAACACCCCGGGTGTGTGAACGTGCCCCAGATTCTGACATGAGGTGGAGATGGAGAACAGGCAATGCCGTGACCCTGCCCCAGTGGGGATACCTTCCCCCCTTTCTGTCTCTTTGTCTCTCTGGCAAGCACATGCGCCCTCTGGCAAATAAAAAATAAGTCACTGAAGGTGAGGGACGCTGCAGAGCATGGTAGGTATGTGTGAGGTGCTGCCGTTACTCGAGCAGCGTTTCCTGGGAGGCGCCCTCAGGTAAGGACTCCAGTGAAGCATCATTTCGTTGACACTGGCCCTAACACTGGTCTCGTGACTCTGCCCTGTCCGCAGGTTAAAGTGCTGCACAATCAGCTGGTCCTTTTCCACAACGCCATCGCCGCATACTTTGCTGGGAATCAGAAGCAGCTTGAACAGACACTTAAACAGTTCCACATCAAATTGAAAAGCCCTGGAGTCGATGCCCCGTCTTGGCTTGAAGAACAGTAGAACCACACCTGGGAAGCAAAGGCAGTCGTGTTGCTCTGTTTCTAAACCAACCTAATGAAAATGAAACCGAGGTCGAGGGGAGGGGAGGGCTGACGACCATTGCTGTGACCATTGCACAAGTGGCTTTAATTTCCCTTGTTCATACTGTAACACTCGAACTGTTCAATTTGATGGGAAGGCGGGTGGTTTTAACGCAAACATCATTTCTATAATCAGAACACAAAACTTTTCCTTTTTGAGAAATCCTTTTGTACCGTGAGGGTGGATGGCTATTTCTGTAGTTTGAAAACATCTAATATAGATTTGCACTGACCTGATATAAACTCTAGGTTTTTGGTCCTGGGACTGAGGACCAGTTGTAACTTTTCCAAAGGGAGGTTTACATGATTTGTATCCACATCAGATATTTTATATACGAATATATTAAACATCTTTAAGAGATTCATTTTCATGTATTATCTTAAAGAAAAAGAAACTATTTTGCAGAATAAAATTATATGGTGTTCCTTCAGCGTCCACACAAGAGGCAGCAGCTCTAATGACTGACTGGTTTGTGGAGTTGGGGCAAATACCTTTTTAAAAGTGACTCCGTACCATTGTAATTTTGTTGAGACTTTTTTTTTTTTTTTAAGATACAGGAATCATGGGCGCGTGTGCGTGCGTGCCCAAGATCCCGAGAGGAGAATGGAGGAGAAGGGATTGCGGCGTGACCATCCCCCCTGGGGGGTGATTTCTCGCTTTCTGTCTCTATGTCTCTCTCTGTCTGTCTGGCGAGCGCACGCGCCCTACAGTAAAAATCTCTCCAAAAAAAAAAAAAATACAGGAATCACACTCATTTCTGCGAGGCTGTTAAGCTTATGAATTTTTATCACCCAAAGTCATTGAATGGTTACGTTAGCGATTTCTTTCAGTTCATAATGAAACCTGCTTATTGGATTTTTTCTTTTTCAACAGGTGGACTTGGGAATGGAAATTCTTAATGGTTTCTAAAGTAGAAATTTGTTCTTAGAAAGTTAGCTTTTGGTAACTCCACACTGAGAGTAGTGAACTGCTAGACAGCTTTCGTGGACTTCCATAAGTAACAATACCAGTTAAGCCTTAAATCACAGATATGTGCCTTCTCAGATACGTAATTCTTGTTTAGAATCAATAATCCAATGTACATAATCCATGAGATGCTCCTTCGGATAATGTTCTACGTGTCTGCTCCTTCCCTGGAAAGCAGCAGTGTATAAATGTCGGGTTTCTTTGTACTCGCTAATCTGTATTTAAGTTTATGGGGAAATCAACTTTTGGGTCTGCTATTTGGTTTTTCTTGACTCCTTCAGAGGAATGGGAAGGCTTAAGGAGTTTTTCTCTGGGGTCCTGAGAAGCTTCTGTGGGACAGGGTGGCGGGAACCAGAGGAAGGGGATGTGAAGGGTCCCACTGCTCCCCTAGCACCGTCGGTTTGTCGTCGGTGGCCGCCCGGTCTGCTGCGGGGTCCTGCCAGTCATGTAATCCTTTTTAAATGTAAAGTTCTTTTGATTTTTGTCATAGACGTAAATTAATGTCCGAGAACCCTCTCCACGTTTGTTTCTTTGGTGTTGAAATGAAGTACTTAAAATTACCATTGCACATGAACTTCGTGGACTCTAGGATGTTACGTATGTTCAGATGCCTTTTTAGCTGGCTTTCGAGTAACGTGCCTGTTCGTTAATTAAACTGCACTTCCTGTGCTGTAACGTGACTGCGAGTCCTAAGCCTCCTTGCCTCCTTGCCTCCTTGCGTGTTCGCGCCCTGAGGGAGCCGGACCTGACTCTCCCAGCAGAAGCACCCTGGGAGAGCCCTCACATTCCCCAGAGGGGCCTCTGGTGCGGGCCCCCACTCCTATTCAAGTGTTTGCTGATGTACTGTGCTTCTCTGGCCCTCTGTAGTCTCTGAAGTCTCTGTTTGGAAAATCTGTGGATATATGATTTGTCTTTTCTGAACTTTAAAAATAACAAACAATGATGCCTCTGTCACTTCCTGTTCTCAGTTCGTCATTCTTTGTCCTCCGTCTGAAGCCTTTGAAAATTGAACGTTTCTAGTCTTCCCGTGTTGCCGTAACAACTGAAGCAGCCAAGGAGCTAAGTGGTTCCATGGGGCGACCGTGTTTGAGAATAAGCTAAAAGCATCAGCGGTTCTGAGTGGTGGGCACACGTGCTCTGGGAATGGTGAGTGACACAGCAGTACCTCGTGGCGCGTTTACTCGTAAGAAAGCAGTTCATGTTCATTGTGGAGAAAGTCAGGACATTTCGGAAAACGGAAATAATAATGCACAAGAGAAGAGAACGGTATCGTCCCCAAGGAGTAAGAACTGCATAGAGCTTCCTACCTCCCCTGCGGCTGGGTCATTTTTTTTAATTGCCAGAAGCCAGACGCGCTCCGCTCCTCCAAGAGAGGGTGAGGAAGCATGGGGAGGGGGGTCACACACAATCCTTTCTTCTCATTTCTTCATCCTTTCGGGATTTGGGGCCCACACACACGCCTGGCATGTGCTTTTCAGACCACCAGACCAGGACTTGCGCTGCATTCGGCCAGGTGGGATCCGCCATCCCTCAGCCACCACGCATGGAGAGCCAGCCCCTGAAGCGGGATGTCTCGTTAAGGGGTTTACGTTGAGGTCCGATGTCACTGTCCTCTGACATGCTCGCACTTGTGTGCGCTCCCTGCGCCTGGCTCTCTGGTCAGGCTGTATCCCTAGAAGTAAAAGTGGGTCTTCAAAGTCTACACACTCGTAGGATTTTGTGATGTGTGTCTTAATTGCTTCTGGTAGAGTGTACCAGTTTACACCACGTATGTACACGTGCCTGCTTATTGTTTAACGCTAGTGCGCGTAAAACGAAGTCACGCTGAGCACCAGCAGGGCCTCACTTGTAAGTGTTTGGTTTGGAAAGGGAAGAGCTGTCAGGAAGGCTGGACATGGGGACCTGGGGAGTTTGGAGGTGTGGAGAATAGGGGTAGGGGATAGAGGGAGATGGCAGACTTTGCTCAAATAGAAACAGGGAGGGCCGGCAGGTGGTGGGGTGGTTAAGGTGCTGGACTCTCACACGGCTGATCACCGTTCAAGTCCCGAACCTGGCAGCTTGCTTTCTCGCTTTCTCTCTCTCTTTCATCAAATTGAATAATAAATAAATAAATAAAATTAAATCATTCTTAAAAATAAAAGCAAATAGATGCAAAAATGTGTTTAATGCACTGGTCTGTCAGATTGAGCTCTTCATTCCCACGCTTTGAAATCTTAGGGCCCAGCAAGGACCTGGATTTGCAGAGACTGTTTTAGCTGGTATCTAGACATATGTGCTCACTGGAGAGAAAGAGAGAGAGCGCGAACACCCTAGAGGGAATGGTCATGCTGCAGTCCCTTCTCCATCCTGCTCCCAGGATTTTGGCCATGCATGCACACATGCCCAGTGCATTTTGCAAACTCTGGTCCAGGACTCAAACTACATGGGGTCCAGCCACCTCAACCTCCACACCATCTCCTGACCCTGCTGGAAGCTAGACTTAAAGAAATATCTTTCTATTTTCAAAACACATCGAGAGTGCTACTGAAGTTGATCACATAGAATGTGAAACTAGATTGCTTAGAGGTTAGCTAACATTTCACTTTGACAGATGAAGGTATCAGGGCCCCCAAATATATTAAGCTGGTTTAGCCAAACATGTCTCCAATGTAACGCCAGGTGATTGTTTCCAACTAAATACACAATCCCCCTTCCACTCCTGCCATTCGAACTGCATCATTAAATCAGTGTGTCCGAAGTGTTAAGTTTCTTCTAAATTTAAGTAGAATATGTATTAAATGTCTTCTAAGTTGAAAAAAGGGATCCACCCACCCCTAAATGGATTCATATTGCAAAGTGTATGAGTGATCATCCTTGTTATCCTTGGTCTTTAACTTACAGTATTTTTCTTTCTTCCTTGTTATTTATTTATTTATTTATTTATTTATTTATGAGAGGTTTTTGCTATAAGGGCGCGTGTGCTCTGCAGAAAGATAGAGACAGACAGTAACAAAGAAACAAACCCCCAGCAGAAAGCTGCAATCCCTTCTCCTCCATTCTCCTCTTGGGATCTTGGGCACGCACGCACCGGCGCCCAATATGATTTTAAGCCACCGGGTCCGGGACTCGAACTGTGGTCAACTATGTGGGAGTCCAGCAAAATAGCCATTACGCTAACTGCTGGTCCCTAACTTATAGTATTTTGCAAAAGAAATTTCATGAACCTGAAAAGTGTCTTTCATACACACACACACACACACACACACACACAACACATACACACAGGTCTATCCAAAGTAAGCACTCATTGGAAAAGCCAGCGGTAAGTTTTAATCCTGAAGCTGTTACTTGGAAGAATGATGTGTCAGCCTAAAACTATGCCAATTTTCACTGGTCTCTGTTAGTGTGAAAAACAAAAATTACCAAAATTGTGAGTTCAGTGCAACATCTATGTATAATTTGTGCTAATTCTTATGAAGTGCTTACCTAGAATAAGATTGGAACCAGCAGGTGGCATGGTGGTTAAGGCTTTGGACTCCCACATGGTTGACCGTGGTTTGAGTCCCAGACCCGCACTCGTCAGCTTGAAGTTCATACAGGGCACAAATGTGAACGTGCCCAGAACCCCAGGAGGAGAATATAGAAGAAAGGATTGCAGTGTGGCCGTCCGCCATGGGGGTTGGTTTCTCACTTTCCCTCTCTCTGTATGTCCCTGTCTCTTTCCTCTTCAGCAAGCACATGCACCCTATAGCAAAAACCTAAAAAATAGTAAGGTTATTTTCTAATAATTCCACGTTGTTTTTTCCCCCAATAACTCCTTTCAGTTGCCTGGGAACTTTGAGAGCACCAGACACTCTTCGTCGGTCAATTCTAACTTGATTCAGGCCGTTAAATACGTGATCCAGGGGTGGCACAGCGGTGGTGCTGGGCCCACTCCGGAAGATCCCAGGTCCCCGGCTGGGCGTCTGCTCTCGCCCTTGATCCTGGCTGGCTGGAAGACACCATTGGGAGTGCCCATCTCTCTCTCTCTCTCTCTCTCATGAAGTAAATACATTTTTAAACCATCTGATTCTCAGGCCAGCAGATGGCATGGAGGTTAAGTTGGCTGGATCCCACATGGCCAACTGCACTGTTCGAGTCCTGTACTCAAGGGGTGAATGGAGAAGGGATTGCAGCAGAGCCATCCTCCCTAGGGGGTTATTTCTCACTTTCTCGACAAGCACATGCATTCTATAACAAAAACTTTATTAAAAACAAAAACAAAACTGATTCTCGGGCCAGCAGGTGGTGTGGTGGTTAAGGTGCTGGACACTCCCACATGGCCTACCACGGTTCGAGTCCCGGACCTGGTGACTTGCTTTCTCACTTTACCTCTCTGTCTGTCTCTGGTCAA